TGGGACGGCAAGGACGTCGCCGAGGCGCCCGTGCTCGAGACCTGCGACAAGAGCGGGCCCATGGTCTACGAGTCCATCGCCGCGAAGCAGGACGTGAGCGTCGGGACCGTGGTCTTCACGTACGACGTGTTGTGGCGCGCGTCGAACGTCAAGTGGGCGTCGCGCTGGGACATTTATCTGTCCATGGACAACCAGGTGAGCGACAAGGTCCACTGGTTCTCCATCATCAACTCCTTGCTGATCGTGCTCTTCCTGTCCGTCATGGTCGCCATGATCCTGGTGCGGAACCTCCACCGCGACATCGTCCGCTACAACCGGACGCTGACCGACGAGGAGAAGGCCGAGGACCGCGAGGAGAGCGGCTGGAAGCTGGTCCACGCCGACGTCTTCCGCCCGCCGGCGTCCTGCCCCATGCTCTTCTGCGTCGCCTGCGGCACGGGCGTCCAGGTGCTCCTGTGCACGACGATCTGCATCGTCTTCGCGGCGGCTGGCTTCCTGAGCCCCGCGAACCGCGGGTCGCTGGCGACGGCCGTGCTCGTGCTCTTCGTCATGATGGGCGCGCCGGCGGGCTACACGGCGGCGACGCTCTACAAGACCTTCAAGGGCCGGCTCTGGCAGAAGTGCACGCTGTACACGGCGTTCGCGTACCCCGGCGTGTGCTTCGTCACGTTCCTCTCCTTCGACGGCATGCTCTACAGCTACGGGTCTACCGGCGCCGTGCCGCTGCTGTCCCTGCTCAGCCTGCTCGCGCTGTGGTTCGGCGTGTCCGTGCCCCTCGTCTTCCTGGGCGCGTACCTCGGGTTCAAGCGCGAGCCGCTGTCGTACCCCGTGATCACGTCGAACATCCCGCGCGAGGTGCCCGCGCCCCAGCCCTGGTACCTGAGCCTGGGCTTCACGACGCTCGTGGGGGGCATCCTGCCCTTCGGGGCCTGCTTCGTGGAGCTCTTCTTCATCCTGAGCTCCATGTGGATGGACCAGTACTACTACGTCTTCGGCTTCACCGCGCTCGTCTTCGTGATCCTGATCGTCACGTGCTGCGAGATCACCATCGTGCTCTGCTACTTCCAGCTCTGCTCCGAGAACTACCACTGGTGGTGGCGCGCCTTCCTCACCTCCGGGAGCACCGCGCTCTACGTGCTGCTCTACAGCTGCGTCTACTTCGGGCGCTTGGCGGCGGACGAGTGGTTCACCTACGTGCTCTACTTCGGCTACATGATCCTGATTTCGTTGGGGCTCTTCGCGCTGACGGGCGCCTGCGGCTTCTTCGCCTGCCTCTGGTTCACGAAGAAGATCTACGCGTCCATCAAGGTCGACTAGCGGACCCCGACGCGCCGATCCCCCCCCTCCCTCCCCTCCCCGGAACCGGAAAAAAAAACGACCGCGGCGACGCCGCGCGCGCCCCGGGCGCCGACGGGGCACCCAGCCCGAACCTAATAACGCCCTCTCAAGACTCGTAAGGAGCGCCCTTGAAGGCAAGTTGAAACTGCAAGTTGAGCAGCGGGCCGCCTCGAAAACCTCAGAGCTCGACGCGCGCCGCGCGCCGACGCGTCGCAGCGATGCGCGCCGTCCTTCTCTGCATGGTCGTCGCGGCGGTGCCGGCGCTCGTCGCGCCGGCGCGCCGCGTCGT